AGTGCCTCGATTTGACCGACTAAGACGAAAGCTGAACGTATTTCGTAAAGTATAAAGTGACTTTCCCGATCCCATACCTCAAGGGGACGAGATAGAGAGACGAGACGAGTTTCCCTCCTGACAAGTGTGGGAAACCCGAGAGTAGGAGAATTTCCCCCTGATAGTACCACAAATCTTGCACAGACGCAGCATATGGTCGACCTCATTGTCATTTTGATCGTTCATTTCGGTTCTGAAAGCAACTACTCGGATTCATATTCTTCTACTACTATAATTTCATCATAGGATGGTCTAGACAACACGTCAGAATTTTAATGAACACTTTCCTGGCTTATGCATTACCTGAAAATTATATTGCTGAAAGGCAATCAATCACCCATGTTTCTAATCTACACTTTGGTCTCAGCAACCCAAATATGTATTTTAAACTCGAGTGATTAGTTACTACCCTACATATCGCGTGCCTGATATAGGGGTCAAAGTAGTTAATCCCAAATACTACTGCAAGTACTTCTGAATGCGTTGTCGGATAGTTTCATTCTGGGAGGGTTAATCACTTTCTATGTACACAATAACTATTCCGTGGCCATCTCGTCTATAATTGTCACACATTGATTATTCCCGTCATTTATGTCAAATATTCAACATACCAAAACCTAGCACCCTTTGAGATTTGAACCTCTGCGTCTAACGGATTATTTATTCTAACCGTATAAACTATTCACGTTATTGTTTTCGGTGGCAATTCCGTTATGGTATTTAGACCGTATTTTTTGGGTCCAGTGAGTGGATTTTTTTATTTTACCAAACGATGTCAATAACAACCTTATTCCCGAAAGAAATTCGAAATCAATACCAATGGTTACAGTAGACTTCTTATAATTAACGATACTGAAGAGGATGACCACTGACATTTCCTAACAAGGGGTATAACTTACGTTATTTTTAATTGTGTTATTCGATACACAAATCAACGATCACACCCACTAACAGATCAGAAAAATAAATACACATGCAGTATGACATTACAAAGATAACAAAATCGAAACAATATATATGTATAACATTCAAAAGTACTATTAAATTGATTAAATAACTTAAACGTAAAACTATCAATATTTGTTTTACTAACATATTATTGATTGAACATTGACATACATCTAAGAATAAGTGAGATTTTTCTCATATTGACTGTCCCATAATCTAATTTAAAAAGCCTTCTATGTCCAAAAAGCCTAGCAGGAGAAAGAACACGAGTCTTATTTAAAATAGCAGGATAGTCGTAACGAAAATTAATAATTTTGTACAAAACACATGTTTGTCATAATTCTTTTGTCAGATAAAAACATAATTCTAACAAGCAGCCTGTCGGCTGAGATAGCTCCGCTGTTAGTTATGCACATGGCAATTAAAGAACAGAAGATATCATTAGAAAATGAACAAATAGGCAGATATATTTAACTATTTAATACATGTACTACAAAGTCTTTAAATAGAAATATTATTCAATTGGAAAATACTTTCAAACCGAGGCAATTTAGACGAACATTGATTCCTGTCTGTTGGGATACCACGCTCATTAACATTTTAAAACAATACATTGAAATGATGAGTACGGATATAATGATTATAATAATTCCTTGAGTAGGATAGTATGTCACATTACTGGTAATTGATAGAGACTGGTGACATCCCAGTGACGCACTCGATAGGGACTAGTAACATAACATGGACGTGCTCTCAGGGCCGTAGCTAGCCTTTTTTTCATTGGGGGGGGGGGGGCAGCAAATGCATTTTTTTAATTGCGTATAAATGTATGAAGGCGTAGAGGTGTGCAGTTGCGCCATAAGTTAATGGCTATGTGGGTATATCTATCTATTTTTAACAATAAAATCATCTTGATATCTTCATATAGGAGCAACATTAATGTAATGTACAGGACTGATTAATACAATTGATAGTTGTAAAATACACAGTTTATGTTTACAACTTTGGCGATAGCATATTAATTTATCTCCAGTTAGCTTTCCTTGAATAAATCACTTTTGGGGAAGGAATGATGCCTGTGTCTCGGTGTACTAGTATCATTGCAAGAGAACTGAGTCTGTCTTGAGCCATGCTACATCGTGTCCATAACTTCACCCGCCGAAGTGCAGAAAAAGAACGTACATATGACACGCTTCCGACAGTTGTTGTAAAGAATATTGTGAGAATTCTGTGGATGGCTGGGAAATAGTTGACATCACAAACAGCAGGAGATGAAGCAGCATCATTATGCGTTACTCAATTGGTGTAACACTGAACTTTGTTATCCACTTTTCAATTTCAATATTCAAAAATTCATCCCTTTGCAACAATTTCCCATAGTAGTTGTTAAATGAGGTCACATGGGTTGATGTGAGCTGACCAATGTTGCATCATGGTAAAAGTGCTTGTGCAGCTATCAGATCACAGTGATGATCAGCAAATCGCGTCTCAAAATCTTGGATGACATGATCAGAGAAACGATAATATACATTCAATATTTTTGAATATATTCCGCATCGTTTACGAAATTCTGTCATTTGCTTCCCGCCGCCGTGAGGCATTGCAGACCCTGTGGAATCTCGACCACCAAGAAGATCATAATGAAGTGATCGAGGTTGATTAGTGGCTTCATAGCAACCAAACTAAACGGGCGACGTCATACATCAATCATACTGGTATTCCTCATATTACTGCTTGTACTATAAAAAATCAACATCGACAGTTGTGTGCAACGTTTCTTCGAAGCTGACATGGCTGACGTGTCAATCAGAAATACTTGAAGGAAACGTTTGACCCCCTGTGCGTCAAAGTGTCAACGTGCTCAGTAATGAATATAAACAAAGTACACGCAACTGGCTTATATACCATGTTTTATTTCAAATCGTGTACAAACCAAATACGTGGTTGCTCGAAACTTTTCTATTTTAAGTTTTTGTTTAAAACTCCCAAACTCAGAGGGGCATCTGACCCCCCCCCCCAACTTGCACCCCCCTCCGCTTGCTACGGGCTTGGCTCTATTGGGACTAGTGACATCATGGGGACGTATTCAATATAGACCGGTTTAAAATGGTGCTGTGACATTTGCAGTCTGAATTTAGAAAGGCTAAGTTAGTAGACAATCTTGTTAGATTCCTATGAAAAAGTGGATAGTGACTAATGTATGTGCAACTTATGTTATTATTGATTAGATCGAACGTGAAAAAGCAGGAGTGAAGAGTACAAAGCTTGGGTATATGCAATATGACAAGTTGTCTGAATAAAGAGACTGAAGGTACACTTTGATAAATCTTATAGTAGGCTAATTTTATAGGCGTGGCTCCAAATGTCAATACAGAACATTATGTTTGTTGACAATTGTAAAACATGAGAAGAATTAATTTGGGGACACAATGTCGTATATAAGAAATATATCCAATGTACTTTTTCAATGCCGGTTTTCCAATTTAAACGTTTATCAATAGTCACATCAGGCTCGAAAGATGATGGCACGCCCTCACTCTGCCATCATAACTATGCTTGTCACATTTATTATCTGGTAGTTAATAGCGCTCGTGGTAACCGTTTAACCCATACGAACGTATATACATATATATCTGCTCAAGACTTTATATAATATGGATTAAAATATGTGTTATTAGGATCAAATATTTTATAAATTTGCAATTCAAATTGAATAGCAAAATAATATTTTGCACAAATACAAAATATTTGACTGTGTTTACAGGTTTACCACATGTACCTACATCCCATCAACATTGGTATTTCCAGATTTCATATAATGTCCTTAATTTTCACATTGAGGAAAATTGCCAATAATACGACACGGTGATATATGATTTAATTAAAAATTGTCAAACAATCAGAAATGAACTCAGTGTTCAATAGTACACCAGAAAATGCGTGTCTGGAAAATTCTGCAGTGGTGTTTGTGGTGATGGGGGTATCTCTTATTTCTGGCTCAAGGTCTATTACAAATTCGTCGGGTGAGTTCATCATACAGGTAGAGGGCGCTGTGCAGCTGGTACGTTTCTCAAAAAACATCAAGATGGCGGCGAGTAGATTGTTCAGACGTGCTTTTGACAGCCTTAAAAGCAAAGAATTCCGGAACTATTTAATGAGGTGAGTGGAGTAGTACTTAATAAGAATTCAAAGCACTAAAGGGCACAAAAATTGGTATCGCCGCGTTATATAAGACAACGATAGACTCTGAAACAACGATAGAGCTGCCGTGTAAATGAAGCTACGGAGGGAGTGTGATAGAAATTGTAAATGCACTATGCAATCGTTATGTTACAATACAATGACCCCTGGACCATACACCATCCGTCATTCACGCAATACATTGACCCATGGACCATACACCATCCGTCATTCACGTGCTGTGCCGGTGTGATGTGACCTCCAAACCTGTGCATACATGCCCTCTTGTATTGTAATACTGTGAGCTAAACGAGTCTCATTACTGACGGTTGCCATGTCACCGAAGGAGTAAGGAGTGCGTGGGTTCGTCCATTTGAAAATGAGGGGGCTATTTTAATGCAGACAAAAAGATACAGTGCTTTCAGAAAAGCGGTTGCCAATATTTAGGGTTAATAATATAAAGTTGAAGTATTTAATAAATTGAAAACTGCTGTTGACCACAACAATTACTGTGAAAGGGACGACCCAGTCTGGGGAGGGGGGGTGCAGCGATGATGAAATTCAAAAATAGACAGTGTACAGTACCAGTGCATGTAATTTGTCCCATGACATTATTCCTGATGTTGTAACCTATTATCCTATTTACATGTATATGAATGTTATCTGATGAATATTTTTACAGGTGATATCTTTCATCACGTCATTGAACTGGTATTATCGGTCAATGATACTGCCACACATACACAAATTGAAAAACACTTGACAAATCTATTTGCGTATGATATGAGGAGCTGTGTTATCTGTAAACATGTTATTGTGGAAGTTCTTCTATGTATACATGTATGCTTGGAATGTATAGTAGAGCTTGAACTTCACAAAGACATCAAAGGCAATTGTCTTGATGTCTGGTGTTTGCCTTGATACCTATTGATATTCTCCATGTTATTCCTACAGGCTAAGGCAGTTTTATAAATGATGGCCATGAAAATAGGTTCCTTTATGATAAAACTTTAAACAATGCTATAGATCTGTCAGTGCTTAGGTATGCATACATGTATATAGAGAAAATGATACAGTCAAATGTGACTTCTCGCAGAATTCTTTTTGTATGCCAAAACATAAATGGTTTTACAAAACTGAGTCATGCAATCTTGACTTGTGATATGCTCTTACTGTGTATACTTTACAATGGTAATTCACATTATAAAAATCGTAAAATTCTTTATTTTTTGACACTAAATTTGAGCAATATACAATTTGTGGACTATACAATTGTTACAAATTGTTCATGAGATAATAAAATCTGCCATTTTACCACTTGATCTTTTCTAAGTTCCCAAAAACATTCATTCTGTCATGTGAGGGCGCTGCAATTATGTCAATCTTGCATATGGAACTATAATCGTTTGCATATGGTGGTGTCAAAAAGCAATATGGTGCCTGTACATGTATGTACATTGATTTTAGTTAACTTACTGTTCTTGAAACAAATTTTACACAAAACTGATTAATGTATACAGTCCCAGCACTTACAATGTACTATCACTTTTTGCGACAAATGCAAATATCACAAAATATGGAGCAAATATAACATGTCTCATCATGATTTCCTGTCTAAAAAATGAAAATATTGCATAACTGACATTAATGTTCCAGTAAAAATTTAAATTATGAATTTTGCTTCTTTTGAATGACAGTTTTTCAGTGTTTTGATTATTTGAATAAGGGAAATGTGGCCAGGCAACAGCTTTTATAAAAAAAAAATACTGCTTATTTACTGTATATTTTTCATTGATTATTTGCAAAATATAAATGTAATACTAAGTAATAGTTGTCACTAAACAGTAGTGACTATTTCTTAGAGAAATACAAAAACAATATTACAATCACTACAATGCCTTCCTGTGATGATGCAACTGTTTGTATATGACCTATGGAAAATAATCTCAAACTGATTTGCAGATCACTGCTTTGCTAGACTGTGATGATGCAACATCTGTATGTGACCTATGGAAAATAATCTCAAACTTATTTGACAGATAAATGTAATAAAAAATAACTTGATAAATTAAAAAATTATTGTGAATTACTCATGATAAAATATTTGGATATGAACATTCAACGTGGGATGATACAGGTCAGTCAAATGTTTGTACTTTCCCTCATATCATATTCTGTGTGGCCTGATGAACTGGAAGTATAGTGACCCCACTACAGACGCAGGTATATGGTAAAAATTGAATAAACTTCCTTCTTTACAAAGATCTTCAAAATTATCTTTGACTGAATGTTTTGATTTTGTTTAAAATAACTATGGTATTTTATTGATATGCCTAATTGTATGTAAATTAATAATTAATTCAACATACTTGTATATGGAGTAAATGGCTTACCTGCTGGACATTTAATTTACATAAGTGGTTAGCACACAAGATTGTAACATTTCAGCTTCAATTATTTTCTTGTCATTACTTTTATAAATTATCTGTTTGTACAAATCATTCCCTGTGATTTGCAATATTAGTCTGGTGTAGACAATGTGACAGAATATATCTAAACTTGATCTCAAGGCCAATTGTTAATTGTGTGCTATATGGACATAATTTACTAGGCATTAGCTACATTGAATTCTGCTTATCTCACACATAAACTAATAACTCAATGTGCTCACATTGTGTGTTTCAATGTTCTGTGGTTATGTCAGTTCTATTTTTAGTAAATCAATAAACTTCTCAGTTGTGCTGTCTCTCTAGCCATTGCCTGCTACATTTATCCCAAGTATACTAGTATACTGTACTCAACCGACTTAGCGCTCATGATCGATTAAGTACCTACCTTTGGGGGATTTTTATTATAAGAGTAAGGTTTGGCTTGGAGCTCCTTAGGTTAATTTTAATATCCATCACCAGTTTTTAAAATAATTTTCTATTCCTATAGTCAAAATAAATGCCAAGAGATCATATTTAAATTCACTTTCACATTTCCAGAGAATTGCATCAGTGGGACACAGCATTCTGATTGGTTAATAACAGACTTGATCTGTCAGGTCAGAAGATGTTGTAGGTCACATCATGCAGAAACATGGCAGAAATTGCTTGCATATGGTCAAGAGCATTCAACAATAATGAGAATCTTTACTTTAACTGTTTTCCTACAGACCCTAATAATTTTTACAATGTGAATTCTGATGATATGAAAATAATATTGTACTGAAATATGCAAATCTGGCAATCAATGACAACACAACTCGTTTTACTTTTTCTAAAGATGCAATATTCCACCTAATCTGGAAAAATTGTCATTTGAATAATTTTTTTGAGGGAGGTCCTGAATTAATGTGTAAATGCAGAAATATAATTTTTGGAGTAATTTGGATGCAAAGTTGAATGAATATGTTGTCCTATGATCAGTAAAATATGTTTATCTATGGAGTTAACTGTTTCATTTTCTGATTCAAATGGCGGCTAAAAAAACATTTTTGGCATTTATGGATAAATTTTCTTCAAACTTGGTACATACATTGGACATTATGGGTTCTTGATGCACGTCATTTTATTTTTCAGATCGGTTTTAAAATTGCCGACTGGTGGTCATTTTGTTTTAATTAATGCTGTTCTAGTGCCATATCTCTACCAAGCTTAGAATGATTATGTTCAAATTTTATATATTCATTATACATCATGTCATAGATATACAGGTACATGTATATTGGTTTGACTGTCTGATTCAACATGGCCAAATGACGACAATTTTTGTGCTAAAAAATCATCAAAAATCAAGCATTTGTGACATTTATGGATTGATTTTGTTCAAACTTGTACATACATTAGACATTATGGGTTCCTGATGCACATCATTTTATTTTTCAGATCAGATTCAAAATGGCTGACTGGCAGCCATTTTGTTTTACTGAATGCGCTTTTAGAGCCATATCTCTGACATGCTTTGACTGATTATGTTCAAATTTTATGTATTCATTTTACATTATGTTATAGATATATAGATGTATTCAAAATGGCCGATTTTGTTTTAATTAATGCTGTTCCAGAGCAATATGAACAAGTACTCGTTTGACGATCAGATACAAGATGTCAATCATTTTAATGTTAAAAAATCATAATCATATTCCTGACATGTTTATATTCCAACTATATTACTATAAACAAAACTATATATCGTAAATTTGATAACTAACTCGGTCTGTGCCATGCATGGATTGTTTTATTTGAGTTAAGAAGGCTGGATAGTGGCCATTTTTAATTAATTTAGTAAATCAAACATTTCTGCAATTTAGATTTCGGTTATGTATGGAGATATTTGGTTTAAACTTGGTATGTACATTGAATATTATGGAACTTTAATGCACATTATTTTGTTTTTCTTGATTGGTTTCAAAAAGACTGACTAGTGTCCGTTTAGTTTTAATGAATGCACTTTAGAACTATTATGCTTTGACAGTTCATGTTTGAAGTGATATGTTTGGTGGTATACTTATACACTGTTCCTGTCATTTAAATTCAATATTCATTATCTTAAATGTGATTTATGTGATGATCATATTGTTCTGCTATTTTACATACATTTGTAGTAGCTTTAGATTAAACTGCATTTAAAAAATGCAAATATGAGGCACAATTTTAACTAAAAGGCACTAATAGTAATAGTAACGACTCAATCACTTTTTTTAGTTGTAACGATTCCATGCTTAACCATTATTATTTTGTTTTGTTTTTCACGATGCTGCCTTTCGTATTGCCGTTTCCAGTACAGTGAGTATTTATAAAGTATTTCAGTCACTGATAATTTTTCAAATATTTTACACAATATGGGAATTTTATACAGATCACTCGCTATTACCCCCCTCACCTAGACTGGCGCAGTCAGGCGATTAATTTGTTTTTGTAGTTTAAATAAAATAAAAAAATCTCGCGAAATGGA